ACTGTGACTCTCAAAGTGCATTGGCGTTAGCAAAGAATGCAGTATATCATGAGAAGACTAAACATGTGGCTACAAAGTATAACTTTATCAGAGACATTGTGGCACAAGGGACTATCACGTTGTACAAGATTCATACGAGTAAGAATCCAGCAGATTTCTTGACTAAGGCTCTCCCTGGGCCTAAGTTTAATCTCTGCTGTGATTTAGCTAACGTCGTATGAGAAAGGAGGCTTCGAGTAACTCTGGTGTAGCTGGTCTAAGTTGCCTGCAAGGTCAGCGTACGTTCGTGTTTTATCTGGAAGGGTTACTCGATGTGCAGGATGTGTGATGTTTGGTTGTTAAGGTGTTCAGTTCTAGGTGGAGTTCTACGCGATTGCGTGATGGGCACGTTTTGATTGATCCTGAGGTCTGAGTCTTCTGCAGTCGTTTGTTTTGGTTGTTGTGAAGTTCAGAGGGTTTGTGTTCAGGGTTACTGGAGCAGGTTCTATCAGTGGAGGTCTGTGTCTGGTCTGGAGTGTTCGGTCAAGTGTTGCAGTTGCGTTGTGGAGGTTTGTCAGTTTAAAGCTTTAGAGAAGCTTGGCGTGTTTCGGAGTGGTTATTGAAAGGTGGAGATTGTAAAGTCTGGTTCAATTAAACTCCGGTTAAGCTGAAAGGATTAAACCGAGTAGGGTGTACTTGGTTTAGTAATCAGAACGATGACGTTTTGGTTTGACGGTTACACGTAAGCAACAAGAGGTTGTTACGTATAAAGGCTTCGTTGACGAGTTTGTTACAATCATCGAAGAAGAAGATATCTCAGAGAAGGCGATCTCATCGGAAGATACGACGGTGCTAGAGGAGCTTGAGAAGCGTCGCACTTCACAGAGGTAGAAAGGAGAGATCAATTACGCAGTGTAAGTTGATCATCTACTCTGTTCGTAGATAGAGGGAGATCTCTGTATATTGTCTTTGTAGATCGCCATTGTTGTGAGTTCTCTGAAGATAATAAAACGCGCCGAGGGACGTTCTTTTCCCTCCCCTGTGAGTAGATCAGCGAACACAGGGTTAACAAAAGCTTGTGTACGTGTTCTTGAAGTTTTCCCAAAGTCAAACCTAGATAACTCAATCGTAGGTTGAATCGATCAAGATCTTAAGCTGAATTGGTTTAAAACTCTACAGGAGTGTTAAGGGAAGAGAGTTTGAACCGTGATGAGAGTAGATGTATGCGCTACGCCATGAATAGATGTGATCTCCTGGTTTGAGTTCATCTCTTGAGATCTGTTGAGAGAGGAATCCCATCTTCTCGAGTGACACAGAGAGATGTTAGAAGCGCCGCGAGCGAGACCAAGAGATGATTCTTTCCTCTTGTGTGAGGTTTTTTTTTCATTTACTCTCTTTTACAGTTTACTACAAACCACTTGACTCTTGCCTATTTTGGTTTGCGTTTCAACTTTTTAATGTTCGGTTTAAAAAGGTTTAATTTGAATAGAGAACATCCGGTTCAGTGATGACGAATCCTTGTTGCAAGCTAGAGTCAAACTTTGATTTCCAAATGAAATAGACCGTGGTATTTAACCACCTCAATAGCTCATCTATACTATTATTTAAGAAGGTGTTCAAAAAAAAAAAAAAAGTAAATTTGCTTAGTTGTCATGTTCTCCATAAATTTAGGTAATTTTATTTATTTATCATATTTTTAATAGTTATATATCTATACTATTATTTAAGAAGTAAATTTTCTTAGTTGTCATGTTCTCCATAGGTTTAGATAATTTTATTTATTTATCATAATTTTAATAGTTATATATATCTTATTTATAAATAAAACGAATCTTCTATACTATTATTTAAGAAGAAAATTTGTTTAGTTGTTATTTTCTCCACAAGTTTAGGTAATTTTATTTATTTATCATATTTTTAATATTTATATATAATATAATTTTATTTATTTATCATATTTTTAATAGTTATATATCTATACTATTATTTAAGAAGTAAATTTTCTTAGTTGTCATGTTCTCCATAGGTTTAGATAATTTTATTTATTTATCATATTTTTAATAGTTATATATATCTTATTTATAAATAAAACGAATCTTCTATACTATTATTTAAGAAGAAAATTTGCTTAGTTGTTATGTTCTCCACAAGTTTAGGTAATTTTATTTATTTATCATATTTTTAATATTTATATATATATATATATTATTTATAAATAAAACAAATTTATATGAATTATCTTATTTTCTATAAATTTGCTTAGTTGTCATGTTCTCTATAAGTTTAGGTAATTTTATTTATTTATCAAATTTTTAATATTTCTATATATTTTATATATAAATAAAACAAATTATAAGAATATATCATATTTTTAGAAAATAAGATAATTCTTGTGAATTATGTTGTTATTGAATTATGTTAT